CACACACACACACACACACACACACACACACACAGGTTATGCTGAGGCTCTGAGACTGCACCAGTGTAATGAAATATGAATGAAGTGCTGTTTTCCTGTACGAGCACTGCTTTCAATTCGACTCGCAGATCCTTTAGAGGCATCTGTCACGGAGGAGACCTCACTCTGCTCCCAGGCAATCATGGGAGCGTGACACCTCAACGCTCGAGGCTAACGAGGGGGAAACGGATGGATCGGTCATGCAGAGCAGACCCTGACAGACCGAGTAAGAAGCTTTTATCGTGGCTTGGGCTGCTTCATACCGCTGCTGGACTCCTGACTGCAGCTCACACTTTAACAGCCTTCCTCACGTTCAGCAGCTGCTTCCCCCTGAACATCCATCAGGCCAGACAGCTTCGTGTCCTGCTGCTTGCTGAGGTCAGTCGACCGGCAGGTGCTGGTGCTTCCTGATTGGTTCTGGATGGGCGCCCGCTCCCTAACAGGGTTCAGGTCAAGAAGGAAAACACGCCTGTTCTTGTTCATGTTTCACTTGAGCTTCAGGTTTGGTTCATGTGTTAATGTGGAAACCAAACCATTGTTTTCCTGCTCACTGAACATCTGAACACCTTCAGCTCACCTCCATCTTTAAACCCTTTCACTCATGTTGCTCTCCCTCTGACCTCTGACACTCGTCTCCACCCACTCCACCCTGCACCACCCTCTTTGACCCCTGGTACTTGAACCCATCCAGCTCCACCACCTCTCATCTGTCTTTTTCTGGATTTTTATGAAATTTGTTGCTTGTGAAATTTTGATTTATGAACATATTTCCCAAATATTCATGTTTGAATCTTTTTGAGTTTGTGCTTCGTGGTAAATAACACGACGGGGCAGAACGTCTCCACCCTCCCACAGATGGAGTCTTTCAGGGTTCAGCGTGCAGCTCAAAGACGCTTCAATGCAAAGGGAATCGAACCGACGACCTCGGGCCACAAATACCCAACAGGTGAGAAAGCTTGCACCTTTATTTCTTTTGATTTTAAAAAGGTGAAGCTCGCGCTGTGTTGGGTTGGTCCACATGACGGAGCGATGCAGGTGAGTCCTCAGAGGTTGAACGTGGACTTTGGCCTGCGGTGAAGCTGCAGCCTTTGATTCAGCCTCCTGCTGTCTGAATAAACGAGTCAGTGTGAGCTCATCCTCCTTCCAGCTCTTTACAGAAAAGCTCTGAGACCGAGGCGCTCACTCTGACACTCGCAGATGGGCCGCTGTGTAAACGGCGCTCCGCGGGGAAACAGAAACACTTCAAACCAATTAGCAGCAGCTGCGATGATGGCAGGAGGTTAGCAAAGCGCACACATGTTCCGACTTCACATGTGCGGACTCCGACACGCCTCATCTCGCTCCACCTCGAAGCTCCTGAGCCGCCAACGCCAGATTCTCCTGCAGGTGTTTTAGCTGAGATGAAATCTGTCTGGACAGGACGTCCTCACGAAGATGGGAAACAAGCGTCCCATTAAAGTGCTCCCGGTGACCTCATTTCCTGTCAGACTCACTCAGAGACGGCGTTATGAGAAGTATGTCCACCCTGAATGACCTTTCACCTGTGCAGGTGCAGCCCACAGAATCCTAAACATGTCGGCGACATCATCATCCTCCCTGCAGCGCCACCATCTGGACACTGATTCTGCTCCCTCCCACCTCCCATCTCACGTCGCCCTCAGTCTAAAACCAAACGTTTTAGCCCCTCCCCCCTTTTCTGACTGGCTGCCCCTGACAAACAGAAGGTTTGATGAACTGTCAAAAACATTTCCTTTTGTCCGTGTGAGCTGACGTCTTTCAGGGCCGTCAGAGTGAACTGAGCCGCACCTTCTGATCTTCAGAGCGAATTTTAAACCAGCCTAACGTAATAAAACAACATATTTGGGTCACGTGACCTTACCCCTGTAGTGCTCTCTCTCCAAACCAGTCTCCCTTGACGAGCTCCCTGAGGTGTATCGGCTGCTGGGTGGCTGAATCCCCCTGGGTCACATTCACCTGTGAGGATGTATTGGAGGAGGATGAGCGGGCAGATCAGTCACTAGGAAACGAATGAGAGGAAGACGAAGAGGAGGATGGACTGACCTTCCCTTTGCTGATGATGAAGAAGGTGTCTCCTCGGGCTCCCTGTCTGATGATGTACTCTCCATCCGAATAATGAGTCTAAACCCAGAAGACAGCGTCTGATTGGAGTATTTACAGGGCCACTCCCACAGAAGAAGACGAGGGGGCGGGTACAAACTCACCTCCTCCATGACATCCGCCAGTTTGCTGAGAGTTTCCTCGGGAAGACTCTGGAAGGTGGGAACGCTGCGGACACAGACAGGAATGATTCAAACTTAAAAGTTTGTTGTGAAAAGATAATAAAAACGAGATGAATCGAGCCACGTTCCTCCTCTGAGCTCCTCCTTGTCTGACCAGAGGACCAATAATGCAACTCTGAGTAACCACTGTGGAGGGACGTGAGGATTTGTGACATATACAAATGCAACGATATGTTTGTACTTGTGACGGTTCGACTGAGCATCGAACGGTAACTTCAGGTCAGCGTTCAGAGTTCACGGGCGTGAAGCTGCGTATTTGTGAAGCAGCACAAACTTTTAATCTTCCCAGCTGAGCAGCTTCTGATCGATCAGCTGATTCAAACAAACTTAAAGTCTGTAAAACGGCCCAGAAGACGAGAACACGATCACGTTATGAGACTCTTTCTGTTTCTCACTGATGTTACAGTACATATTTATATTATCACATTTATATTGTTTACAATGTGAATATTATTACAACCTGAATTGTTCTGGTAAATATATCAACACATTTATTCCATTTTAGTTTTGAAATGTTCTCATTTATAATGAATGAATGTCTCACAGGAAACAGCTGCTGGACTCCTGGTTGGTGTCCTTCCTTAACATCTGTGCACAGCTGTGTTGAAGTATTACCTACATGTGCTTTACTCTCACTGACTAACAGACTAATAAATAATAAATGTAATTAATAAACAAAATAAGTTTTATAAGCCTGAGAAGGTTTTTGGGTTTACTTGTAAAGCTTTTCCTAAACTCTGCGGCATTGATGGCAGTTTCTCACCTCTTCAGGAAGTCCATGTACTCGGCGTGTTTGATGAGTCCGGTTCTCATCATGATGGTCTGGAAGCACTGCCGGTCGATGGCCCACAGCTTCACATGGGTCAGAGCTACGAAACACACATGTAGCATCATGAGCATCGACAGCTCCGCGTCACTTTGACTCAGTTAAAGGAAACATGCTGAAAGGATGCAGAGGGAAGGATCTGTGGCTGCTGTGGAAACACATGACGACCTCCGGTGTGTACAGCCAGTGATGGTGTGTGTGGTCTGAAAATGACACACACACACACGTGATGAAAGTTTTGTGTCAAACAGTCTGCACAGAAATTTCTTCATAACAATTTTTATCCAGAAATCCCTGAGGCAAAGTTGTTGCTTAGTAACATGAACCATTACAGCTGCTAAAGTCCAGCTCGTTAACTGCAGCGTGCGCATTAACAGTGGCGTGCACATTAATAGCAGGTGGCTGTTAACAGCAGCGCGCTCATCTACAGTGAAGCGCACATTTACAGCGCCATGCTTGTTAACAGGAGCACGCTCATTTATAGCGGCGTGCTCGTTAGCAGCGGCGTGCTCGTTAGCAGCGGCGCGCTTCATTTGGTTAACAGATTTCAGCTCTTTAAAAGTCACATCTCTGACTCGTGTTTTAACAGGAAGTCTTTGAGCTCATTAAACACAGTTTGTCTGCTCGTTACCAGCAGAGCGTTTCAGAGTGCATCTCACGTCCTCGACTCCAATTAGTCGCGATTCGATCCATTAATACTGAATATCTAACAGATCTAATGCAGCCTGAAGGAAGTGTTTGTGCCTGAGATGCTCGGTGCTGATAGTAAAAACGATTACACCTGGAGACGACGACAAACAGCTCATAAATGTGATGCCGTTTATTTGTCAGGGACTGCTGGATCAGATTGACTTATGCTCATTATAAAGGTTTACTCAGAGTTACAGAGAGCAGAGGACACTACCAGAGAGAGCACAGTCATTTCAAACGGACCAATCACTGTGTAGGACTGGGTCCTTTTTGTCTGGAGTCTCAGATCTGCGTGCTGACATCAAGGTGACGCAGGTTTGATTCCCCAGACAGTCGTAATGTTGAGCCAATGAGAGGAGGACAGAAACGAGGCAGTAAGCGATACTCTGATATCAGGAACCCGCTGCTGTGATCAGTGTCTGAGGACCAGCAGCTGCCAGGTTTTACGTCTGAGCAGCAGCCAGAGCAGCTGTGTTTGAACCTGGACACATCGTTCAATCAGATCAGGTCAGATATGCAAAACTCTGACACAGGAAACTCTGACACAGGAAACTCTGACACAGGAAACTCTGACACAGCTCACGCACCTGATCTGGTGTAGTTGGTACGTGGTGGTGGGTCGTATGAGTGTTCAGGTTACTTTAGGGGTCGTGGGAGCTCACGCTGTCAGTGTGGATCCGGACGCTTTCAACATCTGTTAGCCATCCCATAAACTCCAGCACCGATGCTGAGACCGAGGCGGTTGCCATGGGTACAAGTCATCCACCTGAAGTTGCTGGCAGTTACCGTGGCGATGCAGAGACTTGCTCAAACTTCCTTCGGTGTAATGAGCGGAGGTGTGAGGAAACACGAGCACACAGGGATGGATTTTCTGTATACAGAAGAGTCTCACTCCTACTCCCACACCACTCGCTCTGCTTTCCACCTTTAAATACTATCTTTCTGAGACTAACAAATAAATTATAAATTTAAATAGTAAACACACAATCTTTGTTTCTGTAAGTTTGTGATTAATAGTCAAACCGTTTACATGGTTTCTGGAATTAAGAAGCTTTAGCTGGACGCTCTGTTACCACAGTGACCTCACAGCAGCCATATTATTGGTCACATGATGTCATTAAAAATGCTCCAAAAGGCTCAAGCAGCACAAACATGGTCCAGAGCTCCAGTGCAGCCAGCAGACAGCTAGCTGCTACAGCCACCTGTATCACCTGTCAATCAAAGAGGCCACGCCCCTTAAAAAGCAGACAGCTGAGTTAAAAAACAGGTGTTATAAAGGATTAAATGATCCATAGAGACCAAACATTTTGTGCATCAGGCTGTAAACATGTTTATTTTAACATGGGACTCCATGGGCACGGACTCACTGCTGCCCCTGCTGCATGTTGGAGGAACTGCAGGTTGTTGCTTCAGCGCTGACTTCATGTTTCAGCTGCAGAACCTGAAACTCAGACTGATGATGAGCTGGTGCATTACACCACATTACCTTCTCTGTGGTGGCGTCTCAGTTGCTGTTTGGCCATTACTCTTTATTACTTTTTCCACTGCTTTATGACCTGCTGCCTGTTGCTATGGAGATACCAAGTGTTTCTGTAACCACGGAAACAACGGGAGACCCTCAGAGCAGCAGATACGACGGTCTGAGCGGAGTTTACAGTGCGAGTGTGATGCAGGGGGGCGGACGGACCGTTATTAACATCTATTTATAACTAACCAGAGTGAACATCAGAATCTCTACAGTGCGTGTGCTGTAAAGGTCAAAGGTCAGAGTTATTCATATTCAGAAGCACCTTCAGTCAGGTCAGGACCACAAACAGCTACAGAAACACTCTCAGGCTGTTTGTTCTCA